AAAGAATTATGCTTAATTTCTAGTAATAACACACTAATTCTGTAATGATGTCACTCCTGAGTTCTGAGGTATCTGCAACACAACATTATGATGGCTATCATTTGGATGTGATGCTGTACTACACCAAAGTGTGTAGTGTAACCCCTTTGACTGGTGCTGTACTGCACACTGTGACAAAAGGACCCGGAGTGCACAGTGCTGCAAGTTGAGTGATCTTTTTATTTACAACGTTGGTTGCACTTTTCAGTTGGCACAGCTTTTGAGCTGCCCTCACCTTCTTCGCAGCGCACACAGCTCTCCTGCCACGTCCTGGCATCCTACTCAAATAGGGGAGGCATTTGACATCACACCCTGAACCCACTGCTCCACCGCTCCCCTACAGATGAGCTAAAAACCACATACCACCATTGCCCGGCTTAGGCCAGAGGAGCTGTCTGGCCTGGCCTACTCCATTAATAAATTGGCGGTGGGCCATGCAGTCAGGCTGCACCTGCTGCATGAGAATGTCTCCAGTTAAGCTGACTGCAAGAGTGTGTGTACATCTGTTGATAGAAACGGTTATAGCAAAAGACTAATGAGAATTTTAGAAGGACAATTTTAATGGGAAGATAATTATGATTCGTTTTTTTTCCTTTCCTGTTAAGAGAAATAATATCGAAAGCGTTCACGTATTTATAAAACTGTAAGTAGTTGGCTTAGTGTATCTCCCAAAAGACTGTATTGGCACTATGAAACTGCAGTTTCTCATTTTTACTATTACTTTTGTACTGGATCAATAAGTTAGTGTCCTGCTTAACAATCAGTCAAGTAAAGCCTTTGAAATAAATGATAAATCTTGCTGTGCACACCCCACAGCAGCCTAGCTGGTAGCTGCTAGCTCTCTTCCCCTAGTTCTAGTCATTTAACTGGTTCTCTCCACTCTGTTGGCGTGTTTTTTTTAATATTGTGGCCTGCTGTGTGATACTTTTTATGTGCTCCTTTATTCATTAACTTCTACAACAATATTTTACCTTCTGGCCTGAATTTCTCTTTTATATTTGGTGTTAATGTGCAGCACTTTGGTCAGGGTGGTTGTTGTTTTTAAAACCACTTTATAAATAAAGTAGTATCCTATGGTACAAATAGATTTGTGCTTCAGTTCTGGTGATTGAAATTCCCAAAGTTTTATTTTGTGATGCTAAGCACTAATTAGCTGATATGCATCTCTGCATTTGACCTGTTCAGTTCATAAGGACCAAGCTGCTAACTTAGCACTCCACACTTTTATCCAGAAAACGTAACATCTGGGTCTAAAAATCCAACATAGGTGCAGCCAAAAGCCTCATGTTGAAGTGTAAAAGCAATGGTGGCTACATCCACTCAAGCTTCATAGTGTGAATGCCAACAAAGGAGCAGCATATACACATGAAAAAGAAAGGACTTTTCAGATCTGGACACCAACCATTTTTAATATAAAGTCTTTGGTGACGAAGTACTTATGATTCGATTGATTTTATATACATTTACCTCATGGTTTACCTTAGAAAGAGAATGTAAATATGAAGCTTTAGCTAAGCGGCTTATACACATACACCTTAACTTGAGAAGCTAAATCATTATTGTTATTTAAAAATTATTATACATTTTATCATTGCATTTTTTTTACCTGTGTGTAGTTAACTTTTTTATTCTCTGGTACTTTTTTGTGAAGCGCTTTGTAATCTTTGTATTGAAAGGTGGTAAATAAATGACATTTTTCTGATGCATGTAATATTAATATGGAGATATTCATTTATATTTTAACAAAACCCACGGTAATGCTGTAAAATGGGAGTAAATAGAAACTCTATTCCATCATTTTAAAATCCTCTAATGTTTTTGTTGCCCTTTTCTGATTGAGTTCAGTTGAGTCAATGTTAGTGTCATTGGTGTTTGTCACTATTTGGTTGGTGCAAAATGTACAGGAACTGACAGGAAATCCTGCTGCAACCGAACTGAGTAGGCAGCATGTTTGACTTTAGTGTGTGTGTGTGTGTGTGTGTGTGTGTGTGTTTGAATGCATTATTTTTGAGTAAAGATACACACAGTACAACAAACACATTGATTAGAAGCTGTTGCTCAACTCTGATCTGACCTGAGCAGTGTTTGCTGATGACTCACTGGTTTGTGAAACTGAACCTGGAGGCTTCAAATGATCAGAGAGCAGCGTTAGAAAATCATTCAGCAACAACTCTTCACACAGAAACAGCAACGATGGAGCGACTCTGTTTCCTTTTGTGTCTGATATGTGTGTCCTCAACACTGGTGAGTTTCTCTGATGTTTTTAAATAATTTTACAAAGATGTGGCGCTGAATTTATTTATTTTTTTGTCATTTTACTTTATATTATGTGTTGTTTAATAAATAACAAGAATAATTATGTATTTACTGATCACTATTATTTACTGATATGAATACATGAACATAGAATTTGGCTGTTCTATTTATAAAGATGTCGAGCGCACTGTCTTATTCATTATTTACACTTTTATTTTACTACCTAAGTTTATTAGATATATTTCTGGTAATTATTATTATTATTATTGATTTATATGAATATAGTAACAAAAGATTTAGAAGTTGTGGACGTTGGCTTGAGCAGAATGCTGAATACTGATCAATCAAAGAAACAGTCACTATCTTTAGCTGTTTTAAGAATTCAAATAAAGGATGTGTAACTTAGCAGACCTAACAAAACAGCTTC